TTGGCCCATATTGATAGGATAGCATCTTGCAGTTGATGGAGATTTGTGGGATGCACATCCAGGGCACGAAGCTCCCCACAGGACTGCCGCATACTGGATGTGCACTGGTTAGCATTATTGCCTCACACCTCTGGCACCTGTGTTCAAGTCTCTGCTAGAGTTCCATGTGTATGGAGTTTGCATGTTTTCCCTGTGTCATCATGGAGTTTCCCCTCACACAGTCTGAAAAGATGCTGAGGTTAATTGGAGTTACCAAATTGCTCGTATGTGTGTGAGTGAATGGTGTGTGAGTGAATTGTGTGGGAGTGGATGGTGTGTGAATGGATGGTGTGTGAGTGTGCCCTGCGATGGGTTGGCGCCCCATCCTGGGTTGTTCCCTGCCTTGTGCCTTTAGGCTCCAGACCCCCTGTGACCCTGAATAGGACAAGTGGGTTCAGAAAATGGATGGATGGATGCACAGAACATTGCACTTTTGACCAACAAATACCATACCTAAAGTGAGTGGCATATTATTTAAGTGGAAAATTTTAGAAATGTGCAGGTGCAGGACGCTAGTTATGGACACAGGTACACACTCGAAGTGCACTAATGGTTTTAGGTTTCTAATTTTACTTCATATATATACATTTTATTATGGAATACAACTGGTCCTTCTATTAGGGTTACCATATTTAGTGAGACGAAAAATTCTGTGTCCAGAAATCAGAATAATGATGAAAGTTTTCATGTTTACCAACCAATCAGGTAGCACTTCTCATGAATATTAATGAGTTTCCCCTAACTACCCTGTAAAACCAGTGGTTCTCAACCTTTTTTGCACTGCAACCAAATTTTTACCATACCATTTCAGTGGTGACCCTACATCAAGTACAGTTTTAAATTAACGGTATGATTAAGAATGCAGTGCACTCAATGCAGTGCACTCAATGCAGGGCAATCAATGCCTATCGCACAAACATGATTAGATGTGCCACTGAATTTTAAATTAAGCATCTGAAGGTTTGGCTTCATGGATTTGTTGAATTAGCACTAGTTTTCTGCTAAGCATGTGCAGAGCCAAGACCCATTTATATAGGTTAATTTTAGGATTGGGACTGGGAAGTCTGATCATGGATCAGCATAGGAGCTTGGTGGTTTTAAAATGCTTATGTTCCCAATTGTGCCTCGTGACCCTTTCATAACCTATGCGGCCTAAATTTGGCTCACGACCCATGGGTAGATAATTTCTGTTAGTAGCAGAACACAGAAACACTAGGTATGTAGCAGGGTTGCCAACTCTAGTCAGTGGCTGGCATGAGATTTTTAATTCGAGACCAGTCCTACAAGCGGGAAATGCCAAGTCATCCATTTTGAAAATGTGTGCACTTGGCATGAAATTGAGGAATGTGCTGGTATGAAACTAGCAAAACCACTTTGCGTCACGTTTTATGCTGGTGTGAAACACAGCCCTAAATGGCAAAGTGGAGATTGTATCATCATTCTCTTTTTTGCAGGAAATATCTCCCATAGAAATGTCACGTGTCCAAATTCGGGGGCAGGATCCTACCTAGGACGTGGCCTCCATAGACTGCGTCCTTCGAATACCACAAAGACCGCAAAGGCTGGAAGAGAGTGGCAGTGAAATTGGACAGTCTAGCCTTCAGATCTTTACTTCGTAGCTCCTGCTGTCCCTGCCGCCGCCTAGCAACTGTGACAGTATGTTCACACGAGTGGCAGCCAATTGCGTCGTATCCCGAGCGAGAACCAATGTCATTGGCTAAAGGTTCCTCCAGCAGTCGCAGTAGACAAGCTCACCATCAAGCAGTGAACATACCAAGTGGAGAAACTTGAAAATGATGGAACCCCAACTTTTTAACATTTGCACCTCTAGATTTACTTAAATTTAAGAGTGTATTCTGCCTCTTCCGCCACTACCATCATTTTTTGAAGAATCCCATGATTCATCACGGCTTCGCTCCGCAATGGATCTTGGCATAGGGTGGGCTGTGAACAATCCACCCAACCCATCCTTCAAAAACCGGGAAATGAAGGACGCATTTGTGGGCCGCAACTGGAGGAGCCTTTGAATTTGAACAGCCTTCGTCGCGTCGCTGTGACTTAATCGGTCTACGAATGCATCCTAGGTAGGACACGGCCCCTGAATTTGGACACACCTTTTAGACTGTGTTTCTGGAAGCTGCTGGTTTCCTTAAACCAGGTGAATTCTGACTGGCTGAGAGAGCAGCTGACTAGACACATGCCAGGTTCACCAAGTCTCCTTTGCTAACTCCTTTACCCCCTTTCTCTGAGGTCACCACCACATTTAATTCTGAAGGACAACATTTATCTATTAGACTTATAGAAAGTCACCCATAATCATTTTGTTTATGTTTGGATATTCACAGGACCGAAAAACCTCAAGTCTTTTCAGTCATATACCATACAAATTTTGTTTACAGGAAGAACACTATTACAAATCACAAGTTTCTGAGGTATTATATATAATTTAAAAAAATAATAAACATAACTCTAGTCTCTATTTTTTACTAAACGTTATTTCTTCTTTTTCATTGTAGTATTAGCTAAAAATTATAGAAGTTTTTATCAAGACTTACCATCAACTTTAAGGTTTATTCCAGGTTTTCCAGTCCATTTTCCTGCAGGTTCATTGGTCGTGAACCTAAATGTATACACACCAGCATCTTTGTCTGTAATGTTCTTTATCTGTAATGTGCAGTTCTTCTCTTTGTTCCCTAAATATTCTGCCCTGTCTCTGTACCCAGCAATAATGTTTGTTTTATTGCTGTGAGACACGTATAGCATTTTATCACAGGTCTCATCATCATTCTGACACCACATGACTGTCTCTACTCTTAATGAATCTGGATATTTATATGAACAGGGAATGACCACAGTGGATCTTCTAATGGCACAGAGTGGATTTCCTGAATACTCTACACCCCATTCGCTACCCAGGACCCCTGGAAAAAATATAGAAAAAGGCGATGTTATACAAAAGTAAACATTACATTTTTAAAAGATTGTTTAAGAGCAACTCTGACATGAACAGATGTGAATTCTCCAAGATGCAGTATTTCCTTTGGGAAGACAATCACTTTTTTCTCAAAAAAATATACATTTGAAGTTAAACATTTTAAGGCTAAAGCCCTTAATCCTACTGGAATAAAACTGATTAGATTTTAATGACATTGTGGAGAACTTCTGCTAATTTAATCTAAACAAAAGATGCCGTCAGATGCTGAGCTATTGCTTTTCTTACCGGTTAAAAAGAAAACAGTTAGTATCCAGAAATTCAGAGCGTACTGAAGTCCCATCTCTGCTGCTCTTCTTTCTGACACACTGTCTGTTCAGGGACTGTAATATGTATGAATCAAACCCCCCTCCTCTCTCTCAGACTTATTTATGTTCATCTTAGATTGGGTGTCTGCTTATTTCCTGTTTTCATTCTACAGATCACAAACAACTATTTCTTGTTTTGTTAACATTCTGCATTTTATTTATTTGGGTGACAATTACTTGATATTTTCACAAAAATTATTCATAAAGGTTTGTATATGTATGTTTAATGTCGTGTACCGTCAAAACAGTTGAAATAGAACATGCCCATAGTGTAACTGGAACACCTACATGTAAACACAATGACATGCTACAGCGTTGGTTGTTGTTTGAGGCTAAAATGCCAACTACAAATTTCCTTCTCAAGTAATATTTTACCAGTCATAGTGTATATAGGCGAAAAATCGGTAGCGAAAACATTCAGCATTCTTCTCTAAAATGGTCTGTTATGTCTGTGTTTATCCAGTGGATTATAAACTAAACAATGCTTTTCTATTTCAATTTCTTTCAGATATTATAAAGTAATAAATACAAAAATATAAATATAAAACCATGCATAACCAAACGGATGAAAAATCAGAGATATTCATTTCCACCTGGCACTAACCATGTACAATAATAAGCCATATAAAGGTCCCCATTGAAAACCCTGCTTTTGCACTTAATAGACTAATCTCAACATTTATAAGATTATATTTGTATGTATCCATCCATCCATCCATCTTCTACCGCTTTTCCGTGTTGGGTCGCAGGGGCAGCAGTCTAAGCAGGGAAACCCAGGTTTCCCTCTCCCTAGCCACTGCAACCAGCTCCTCCGAGGGAATCCCAAGGCGTTCCCAGGCCAGCCGAGAGACATAGTCTCTCCAGCTCATCCTGGATTTTCCCCGGGGCCTCCTCCTAGTGGGACACCAGTAAGGTGTCCAGGAGGCATCCTGACCAGATGCCCGAGCCACCTCATCTGGCTCCTCTCAATGCAGAGGAGCAGCAGCTCTATCCCTCCCGAATTACCAAGCTTCTCACCCTATCTCTAAGGGAGAGCCCAGCCACCCTGCAAAGGAAACTCATTTCGGTTACTTGTATTCGCGATCTCGTCCTTTCCGTCACTACCCACAGCTCATGACCATAGGTGAGGGTAGGAACATAGATCGACTGGTAAACCGAGAGCTTTGTCTTTTGGCTCAGCTCCTTCTTCACCATGACAGGCCGATGCAGCGCCTGCACCGATCCGCCTGTTGATCTCCCGCTCCATCCTTCCCTCACTCGTGAACAAGACCCCAAGATATTTTAACTCCTCCACTTGAGGAAGGACCCCAACCCGAAGAGAGCACTCCACCCTTTTCCGGCTGAGGACCATGGTCTCGGATTTGGAGGTGCTGATTCTCATTCCAGTCGCTTCACACTTGGCTGTGAACTGCTCCAATGAGAGCTGAAGGTCTCGGTCTGATGAAGCTAACAGAATCACATCATCTGCAAAAAGCAGAGACCCAATCCTGAGGTCACCAAACCGGACACCCTCAACGCACTGGCTGCGCCTAGAAATTCTGTCCATAAAAGTTATGAACAGAATCAGTGACAATGGGCAGCCCTGGCAGACTCCAACCCTCACCGGAAGGGACCGAACAGTCCTTAAATGGAAGCTCGGCACCCCATACTCCTGGAGTACTTCCCACAGGACTCCCCGAGGGACATGGTCAAATGCCTTCTCCAAGTCCACAAAGCACATGTAGACTGGTTGGGCAAACTCCCACGCACCCTCCAGGACCCTGTTGTGTCATGTAGACTCAAACATTACTGAGTTTCTTATCTTGTCTTGGTCTAGCCCTGCCTTGGTTTTGGTCTTGTCTCGGTCTCATCCTGCCTTGGTTTTCATCTTGTCTTGGTCTCGATACACCCTGGTCTTGGTAATAACTTGGTCGCAGTTTAAGTGGTCTTGACTACATCACTAAGTCAGTCCCAGTGTAAGAGTTAATATGCAGCTAGGGTTTACCACAAAATATGTCTTTGCAAGCCATATATTGACTTACAGAACCCTATCATAGATGGTGTGTGTATGTGTATTATATGCCATGCCATGTACAGTATACCGCTGTGTGGATGCACATTTACTAATGGTTTATCGCACCATGTAGACCTATATAATGTACAGTTATTTCTGTCAGTTTTGCACTTTTACACCTTTCCGATTACATGCCAAACTGCATTTGTTGTCTGAGTACTAGTTCTTTGTACAATAACAATAAAGTTGAACCAAATATACTGTAGTCTAATCTAGTTTAAACTGAGTGTTTTTTTCCTGGTTCGTTTCCTTTTTCACTGTGGTTTTTATGTTGCTCTGCAACAAAAGACACAACAAAGAGTTGAGTCGGTCAGAAGCTCAGAGCTGGCATGGTAAAAATTAGGTCATGGTGCAAAAAAGGTTGAGAACCACATACTGCAAATCTACAAATTAAAATAGGTGAAGGTCAACACGCCTTCCCCATACATAAGGTAGTAATAATAAATGCAACAGATGGACAAATCTACATTCATTAGCATATAGATTTACTTTTGGGCAAGTTTATAGCATTTGTTGAACAAATCAATGTTTTTTTCCCCCCTCAGTACATCACAGCGGCGTATGGACAGCTTTGTCTGGACAGGTCCCTCATGCACTATGGAAGAAGCTGCAGTTTTTACCAACAGCATTTTGAATATGCTCATCACAGACATGTGCCTACTGTCCATGGTGGAGGACACAGGTTTTAAGAATATGATTAAAGCTTTCAATCCCAAATACACCATTCCCTGAAGAACACATTTCACAAATATGATGGAGCAAAAGTACTCAGAAATAAAGAAATTAAAGACTGTTCTTAAGGAGACAGACTGTGTTGCACTAACAGACATTTGGACGGGTGTGGCCACAGAGGCTTATCTGGGGGTCACTTGTCATTTTTTGGGAGATGCTTGGGAAATGAAGTCCCTCTCTCTTACTACAATGCCTCTGGAGGAGAGGAATATAGCCACAAACATTGCAGACCGGCTGGAGGAGCCTGCTACCAAATTTCACTTTCCTTTTGAAAAGGTGAAGGCAGTTGTCCATGACAATGGGGCCAATGTAGTGGCATCTGCCAGAATTCTGAAAGAGAGACACGAATGGGCCTCTGTTAGATGTGCAGGGCACACACTGAATTTAGATGTGCAGAATACACTGAAAAATAACAAAACCGTCTCAAGTTGTGTGGCCTCTGCGGGATGCCTGGCAGAGGACTTTAAAAACAGCGAATTAGCCTGCACAAAACTTAAAAAGAAGCAGCAGCAAATGGGAGCGCAGCAGCACATGTTGGTACAGGATGTCAGTACTTGGTGGAACGGTACACTTTGTATGCTATCCAGGCTCCTCGAACAGAGATGGCCAGTGACTGCAGCTCTTTCCGATCCTACAGTCAACCCACAGGAAAAGCATCACTATTTGGATCTGAAGCCGGAGCAGTGGTTCATGACTGAAGAGCTGACTCAGATCCTTGAACCTTTCGAGGGGGCTACAGTGTTCCTCAGTGGGGAACAATACGTGACCCTGTCTGTGCTTCCACAGCTGGTACAGACCCTCAAGAAATCCACCCCGAGTTCAGCTTTTGAAACTGCACCAGTGAGGGCATTTCAGGGTCTTGCAGCTGAACAGATCACTGACAGATCAAGGTGGGAAGACCTGTTTGTATTTAAACCTGAGGACCCTAACACTGCCCTCCTTGCTGCTGGCTTGGGCCCCTGGTTCAGAAAACTTGAGTTCTTGCCTTCTGAGGAATCATTTAAGGTCCAAAGCACAATTCAAACAATGACACTAACTGTAAAAAGGCAAGAAAGACAGTCCAATGAAAGGGGAAATGAATCCACCACCAACATAGAAGACCACCCAGCTACTCAAGCCAAGGGATAATTTCTCAATGTTCTCCGATCATCATCAGACTCCAATAGCAGTGATGAAGAGGATGAGGAAGAGAAGCAAAATCAAGAGGTACAGAGGGAGGTCTTACAATATTTTGGTGAACATCCTCTCTCCAAAAAAGAGGATCCACTGCCATGGTGGAGAGAAAATGCAGCAAGAAACCCAAACCTGGTAAAGCTTGCAAAATCTTTTCTGAGTATTCCAGCTACCTCAACGCCCTCAGAGCGTTTGTTCTCTGCTGCTGGGAACATTGCCTCAAAACGTAGGGCAAGCCTTACTTCTAACTATGTCAATATGCTGACCTTTTTGCATTGTAACTGCCACTTGCTCTTTTAAAGGCTTGCACATGCATTGCACACACATGCACTATGACAAATTCTCTCTCTATATATTTTGCACATGCACTGCTCTAAGACAAGCACTCACTATCTTACACATAACATTGCACAAAGACAAACATTCCACTCTACCTACCTCATCTGGATACAATTGGAAACTGAACTGTATTGTTTAAGTTAGATTATTAGTAATACTTGAATTGTTTATTTATATTTTCTTTTTACTATTTTGTACCTTTATACTTTGTTATTTATTCTTTATTCTCAGATGGGCTATAGCAGGGGGTACATCCATTTTTCCTTTTTTTATTAAAGTAAAACTAAGGACAAATAGGCTAACCTATGTTTGTGAAGTTGTATTTCATAGTTTTTTTCATGTACATCATAACTGTTTCACAGAAAGGTTGATTAAATGGGCTTAGTTTTGGAGCCAATAAGCCAAAGGTTTTAAGCTTTGATCTAATAAAAGTGTTGAGTTTTTTGTGAGGAATAACAGACAATTGCTTGCTCATTTTAAGAGGCCTTCCATGTTGCATAACACACTATTGATATAGTTGTTTAAAAACACAAAAGTATGATTTATCTGATTACCCGATGAAAAAAATCGACAGAATATTCGATTCCAAAAATATCCGATAGTTGCAGCCCTAAACCAAAATTAACAACTGTGTGAATGTTAAAGTGATAGTTAAGTTTCTTTTGAAGTGGGCCTGTATGAGGTACTACTGCCCAGTCAGTGTACTACCTGCAGTAGATGGGGCTCAGCACTCTCTGTTTGAAGGAGCAGAGATACACACTGCTGAGCATAGGCACACAGCGGTTACTTTTTCTGTGATTGTATATGAAGTCATATTCCTATTAATATTCAAATAGTTGATCATTTTAATGGGACATCAGTTTCCAAAATGATTTTCATAGACCAATTGTAGAATACACAGCAGGGTTGGGGCCATTCCGGAATGCATTGATCTGCAATGCTTTTAATTTCAGATACCCACAATTATATTTCAGATATCCAGAATGTTCATTCTGGATATCTGCAATTGTAGGAAAAACTCCTAAATTAGTCATAATTTTAATTTCAGATATCCAAAAGGAAAAAAACATTCCAGATATACAGTGGTACCTCGGTTCTCGAACTTAATCCGTTCGGGACTCCGGATCGAATCCTAAAAAGTTCGAGTTCTGATCGAATTTT